CTCTAATGATGTCTATCGTATGATGGGCAAAAGCTCAGCCCGTTTTCACCAGAAACGAGTGAGGTCTCGTGGACTGCGTTAACCTGAACGTCGTATAAAAGCCAAACGGCTGCAGTACAACGGGATTCAACCGTCCTCTTGTGGTGAGATTGACCTTGGAATCTCTTCTTCATACACTTTCATGCAAAATGAAAGTCCAAACAATAATGTTATCTCGGGAGATTCATCGGAACCCCGTTACTCTTCATATTTGTTTCTTTAACTGGGTAACTTTTGAGAAAAAATTCTGAAACCACATGTTTTCGCCTCAGATTTACCTATCGATTACTGAGATATTTTACTTTGACAAAATTTAAAATTCTACATAAGCAAAAGCATGACATATAGAACAGTTTGGAAAAAGTTTATTTTAATATTTATTTGCCTGGCACTCAAATGAAATCACAATTTTTGCATACTTGATAATGATTTGGTACCATTGCATTATTGTAGTTTCGTCCCCAACTTAGTGTCATTGTCCGTTATTAATTAAAAAAGTTAAAAGTAAAAATAATTATCTTATGCTTTTGAAATTCTTGGTTTATTTAACAGCACTGTTATGAAAAATATTAATTTCCATTAACATGAGTATTTCTGTTGACATCTATTGAAATCAGCTTGAGTACGTGGTGCAGTACCCAAACTCTGCCATCATGGCGGAGAGACTTCTTATGTATAACTCAACAGTTGAAAAATTTATTATATATCTACTGTATTTATTTACAAACTATCTGCTTTGTGCCATTAAAATGATGGATCAACATAGGATCTAACATCATATTAGACTTCCGAACTTATGAGATCTCAAACTATTCGAGTGTTGTATTCTTAAAAATCTTATTATAGAGTCCCTTGAAAATAAATCTCAAAGATAAACCTATCCATTTACTGAAAGCGATTGGATTCCTCTAATTAACCAACCAGTATTTTAATCACGACCTATTGCCTACTGAGCGGAACGTAAATGTGTGACTAACTGAATTCAAGATAAAATCTATTTTGAATTTTCATAAATAACTTAGTTACTAGAATCGAGCATATACTCTATTTTTAGTCGTTTCTTTGTGTTCGGTTCGTTTGACTTTTTTGGCAACTTGGTCGGGTCGACTTGGAACATATCCAATACTGCGTCCTTTTCCATAGTAGTCATGATACTTTTTACCATTTCACTGTTGACTTGGCACATTTTCAGACATTACATCGGCATTGCCAATGAAGGGCCATCATTAGCACAGAGTTACAACTCTTCAATATACTGCCACTGTGCTAAGGATGGCGCCACTCACCTACGATGTAGGCGAATCGCCTGGTAATGGACCAAGCAACATTCCGCTAAGTAGATGTCATGGAACCAACGCTTGTCTCTTTTTTTCATATAGAAGTAGAGTTTCGAGACTACCAGTTTGTTGGAACTTTATTATCATATCTTGACCGTTCTCCCTATATCATCTAATCTTTATGTATGCATGCACATTTACTTGATCGACCCTTTCAGCTGGTCTATCAGATGTGAATGCCGCGAACAATAAAATGAATGTTCTGAACTCGATACCGTCATTGCATTCAATTGCGCCACTTCGTTTTTTTCTTTCAGCCCTAAGTCTTCTGCAAGCATCCTTAACTCGTCTTTCACGGCTCTACTCTCACTGAACGCTCTTGTCATAGCCCTTACTACGTCCATTCTCTAAACCATGCCTGGCGATCCCGCCATTCATTTCGTCACTGAGATTTTTTTTTCTCCTCGACTGGAGTCTCATTCGGAAATACTTTATTGTCGAGTCTAAGGACCTATTGGAGTGGATTGGATCGGCAATTATGGGTGCAATGGCATTACCCTCAAATTCCATTCCTAACAAAATTTGAGCATGTTTTTGTTTTTGTTTTGAATTATGCCAGTTAGGTAAATGCATTAAGCCGACATACTTGTTTCTAATATAATTTGGTCAGGCTGCGGTTCTTCAATTGTTCCATTGTAGAGTTAATAATGATTATATCGGTGACTCAAAATGACGGGATTTTTTTCAGAAAACGGGAACATTGGTTTGCGCAGCTAAGATGCGCCATCATAAAGCATTTATTTAGATTGTTTTATTGAATATTTATTATGCACGTCTGAGGCAAAACAAACCTGACAGCAAATGCTTACTGCCTTTTCTAATAAATATTGTTTTTAGACTACATTGTATCAATCTTTTTGGGCCCGACTCTAGTTTTCCTTGACATTGTCTTGTAAATTTGGAGCTTCGTTTCTTAGATGATATCTTTTTAAATCCCAAATGTAATTATGTAAACGAATTTTCATATTTTGTTCAAATGTTACTCAGAGAAGCCAAAACTCATCTCGCATATTATCCCCTCCGCTCCTATTTGCATTTATTTATCCGCTTTATTGATTCCTTGATTTTTAATCGAATTGTGGGTACGTTTATATCTACTCCATATTATAAGCCAATCCTATAAAATGTTATGGAAAAATTAGGATTTGTATGTGAATTTCTGTGAAATTTTCCATGAAACATGAGATTAAATTGATCACACTATATCCATCAATTTCCCATATACAAAAAGTGATTTATTTAAATGTTTATCTTGACTATAGCTGCTCGTCTTCTAAATTGCCCGGAATCGGACTGCCCAATTGGCGCGTTTGGTCCAGATACGCTATTCGGCCCACTTTGACATCTGAAGAACTGCGTCAGCGTGTTTCGGCAGCTGGCGGAGGCTCCTCTGGCTCTACATGGTCCGATCTTACTGAGCCGTCCTCTCTTGACCGTATCGCCCTACGTCCCGGCGAGGAGTCTTACCATCAACCCAAGTTTTCTCGACCCGCCTATAATCAGAAGTTGTATGAAGGCGGTCTTTTGCCACGACTGCCTTTCACTGATAAACCAGTAGATAAGCCGGAATTCAGGCCAAAAGATATGTGGGCACCTCACAGGGCAGTTTTTGGACAAAATGACTACATTGGCGAGTTTCATTTGGCTGTTCATTAATTGTCCTTAACTTCACTCAACTTAATAAGTGATATTTGCTTTTGAAGGCTTGTTTGATTTGTCCGTATTTTCTTCAATATTCGTAAATATTCCCGTGCTTTGAATTATTATCCAGTTACCACCTATGTGTTGTAACCTAATTGGCATAGTAATTCATTCTAAAGCCATCGATTTCATTTACTTAGCTATCCGTTACGCACACATCAAATATTTATTGAGAGTTTTTTTACAGTTCTTGGCTTTTTTTAGAACCTATGTACGTTAGTCTTAAATAGCACTAAATTTCATCCATGGAGGAAGTCTGAATGCTCCAACAAATGAAACCAGAGTAGTGTACTGAAGTGCTATTGCTTGCTATACTTGCTCTTCAACACTGTTGGACAATACTCCATCTGTTAGGTAGACGTAAAACACATATAGAAGTGGTTTGAGCTTGTTTTCGCACATTGGTCATACTGGAAGGAAGACTTAGAGGAACGCACCTAGTCCGAAGTCCATTGTATGCATCATCACTTCCAGAGTAGGACAGTGGACGTGGTACATTCCCAGACGTTTCGCCGGCATCGTCAGTGCGTCTCGCCATTCGTAACACCATATTACAACTCGTCAA